GTATTACTTTGTTTTCCTTTAACGTTTGCAGATGAACCATGCTTGGGAGACAAGTCCATATTCTGTCAAATGGAGGTGCTGGCACGATACTGCTCCATCCCAGGTTATAACAAGTTATGTTGTGAGTCATGTAGCAAGCGCAGTAGCACCCTGCCACCGCCCTACCTCCTAGAAGCTGCCGAAGTGCACGATGATGTTATCTTTAACCCTAGTGACCTCCCTAGATCTCTCGTGATGCCTACATCTTTGGTCCCTTATCATCCAGAGGCCCCTGCTGAAAAGAAATCTTTGAGTAGCATCTCTTCCCTGGGAGGTCCAAATGCATATGCTGCTTTCAGGCCAGACAGTAAACCCAATGGTGCTAACTTACCCCAGAGGAGAGCTCGGCAAGCAGGAAGTAGGACTGTGAGGCTGGTCTCAGCGCCATCCCCTCCACCCACCAAGAGTGGCCACCTCAACTCAGCTTCACAAATGGCTGCTGCTTCCTTCCTTGCAGTCAGCGATGCCATAGGTGCTGCTTCTCAGGCAAGAACCTCAAAGAAAGATGAAAAGATGGTTGACAAGAGACATCCAGTAAGATCATCTGCTTTAGAAAGATGAGAAAGTGAACTCCAAAGCCTGGAAATCAGAGGGGAACCTGAACAAGCTCCCTCTCCCCGTGGTGCATACGCTTGTTTAAAGTGGAAATCTCCGTAGATCATCAACTCATTTTATCTGTAAGTGGGAAAAAAAGTGCTGGTTCACTTTCTAGTTGCTTTCATCCTCCCGTCGTTCTGCATTGACTCTTTTACCAGAATTCATTGGAAGAAAGCACCAAAGATTATCAACAGGAGAAAAATAAGTTGCTAAGTGTGTCGGTCACTCTCTGAAGCAGAAAAGGGACTGGAACCAATTGTGCATATCAGCTGATTTTTTTTGTTCGTTTGTTTTAAAAAAATTACAGTAAAAATAAAAAAGAGATACCAATGGTTTACACTTTAACAAGAAATTTTGGAAACGGAGCAAAGAATTCTTAGACTTGTATTCCTATTTATCTATATTAGAAATATTGTATGAGCAAATTTGCAGCTGTTGTGTAAATACTGTATATTGCAGAAATCAGTATTATTTTAAGAGATGTGTTCTCAAATGATTGTTTACTATATTACATTTCTGGATGTTCTAGGTGCCTGTCATTGAGTATTGCCTTATTTGACATGCTATAGGTTGACTTTCAAAGCAGAATATTACAAAGGAGAAGTTAGAATCACAGCTACTGACAATACAAAGGGTTTTGTTGTATGGTTTTGTTGAATCAACAATGTGATACCCAAATTATAGATAAAGAAAAAACTAGAGAAGCTGCAGATACACAGATTTCAGCTTACCTATTGCCTTCTGGTATTATAATTAAAAAGAAGAGGATTAGTGTCCTAGTATTCTTGTGGTCACAGGGAACAGAGAACAGTTAATGAACCCGTGCAAGACAAAACTAAAACCCTTTTACCAGGATCTCATAGGCGCCAGTGAGGTGCTCTATGTTCTTGTGTTGTATTTTTTTTTTAATTGTACCATTGTTGATGTATACAAACAGTTATACTGAATGTACTGTAATAATCACAAAGAAAAATGTTTTGGAATGACTCGTTTGTATGTTGGTAGCTGAGAAAAATATCAGTCTAGATTAAAATTCGAGTATAATAGGGCTTTGGGGTTTTGGAGGCAGGATCGAGAAAGCATTTGTCAATGGTTGAGATATTTATTTTCCACATGGTTCATATTCAAATGTTCACAACCACAATGCATCTGACTGCAATAACGTGCTAGTAATTTATATCAGTGATCACCTTGCTCACAGCAAAGCCAGAAATGCTCTCTCCAGGGAGTAGATGTAAAGTACTTGTATATAGAATTCAGAACCGAAGATATTTATTAAAAGTTGATTTTTTTTCCTCGATAGTATTTTTATGTACTAAATATTTACACTAATAGCAATGACATATTTTGGTAAACTAGAGAGACATAATTATAGATGCATGCTTTGTTCTGTGCATAGAGGAGAAATTTAAACAAACTACCACAGCCAACTCAAAGAGCTAAAATTGAACACATTTGATGTTATTAAAACATTTTGCATTTTTAAAGTAGTTGATATTAAGTTGATGACTTGTTCTCCCTCAAGGAAACATAAAATTGTATGGACTCAGCTAGCTGTTTAATGAAATAGTGAATTAGAAACACTCTTAAAAGTATGTGAAAGAGATAAGTCCTTCATGAATCATAAGTAAAAAGGGAAAAGAAAGATAAATGTTATCAGCATAATGTTTTTGAGGGCAATACCTGAGCTGTCTAAAGATATGCTATGCAAACTAAAATGTAGATATGTTAACCTCTCAAAGCGCAGAATATACAAGAAAGTTTGCATTTTAACCATCGTAAACCAACAGCTTTTAAACTATTGACTCTATACCTCTAAAGAATCGCTGCTACTTTGTGCGAGAATTTTGAAGGTCAAATGAATTGGGTTAATTCCAGATAGTAAAACAATCCCTGAGCCTTAAGTAGAAGTCTTTTTTTTTTTTTTCCTAAAAACTTCCCTAGAATAAAATTCTCTCTAGTTTACTTGCGTGTGCATGCGTCTGGTCCACAGGGAAGTACAGAGAAAGATGGTCACACACGTACACCTCCAGTAAAGATGTATATGTTCGTTCTACTTCTGACCTTTGAGCTTTCTTTTCTACTAAGCTAAAAATTCCTTTTTATCAAAGTGTACACTACTGATGCTGTTTGTTGTATTGGGAGCACGTAGCAATAAAAATGTTAACAAAAATATAGATCTGGCTCTATCTAGATTTTATCAGTCGATTCATCACAGAGTAATAGCAACATGTCCTTTCCTCCTACAAAATAAAATGGCATCAAATCCATCCGGTCCTTGTACTTTCTCGAAAGACTTAAATAAAGAGACAGTGTCTCCTGTTTTCACATAAGGGCGCGCCATAATATTTTTTAGAAAACAAAATAAAGACAAAATAAGAGATTGTGGGAGGTGACTTTCTGCTTAAATCTGTCCTGTTGAAGTATGAAGAGGATGAGAGAAGATGGTGATAATGCCAGTATTTATGAGAAGGAAAAGGGAGACTTCCATGTTTAAAACGTGCAGTCTCAGAATGGTTTTAAATAAAAGCCGCCCACCAGTTTTGGACCTTGATTACCTGAGGATTGGTGGAAACTCATCACTGAAGACTCGGAGCATGGGGAGAAGGGAACATCACAGCGGAAGGTCTTTTTTATGTTGCAGGGATATGCTGTAATCGGTAGTTTCCGGTTTGAAGCACAGAGGAGACGACTCAGGTTTGAACTCCGCCTGCCACTTCATAACCTAAATGGCCTTGGGTAACCTCGCTCATGTGATCCCTAAATTATAGAAAAAGAAGAAAACAGAGACACTGCGGATATACAGATCTCAGCTTACCTGTTGCCTTCTATTCTTAGAATTAAAAGGAATGAAACCTCAAGTTTCAGTTTCCTCACCTGCAAATGGGAGGCAAAACTGTCATATATCATCATGTGATTGCTACGAAAAATGAGATGATTGAGTCAAGCTGTTAGCACAGGGCCTAACACATAATAGCTCACAGTAAATATTAGGTGTTAATATTAAGTCATTGTCCTTGTCCTCATCATCTTCATCTTCATTTATGTAACTGAACCACAGCTTTCCTCTAGGGTCCACAGCTAGTTCGAATCATGGTCACTGTGTCTCATTGAGGGTGGTAAACAAACATGATTTCAGGAATTTAAAGACAAACAATTTAGGTTTAAAAATGTATAGGATGAACTCATTAAAAATGATCTCCAGGCCGGGCGCGGTGGTTCACGCTTGTAATCCCAACACTCTGGGAGGCCGAGGTGGGTGGATCGCTCAAGGTCAGGAGTTCGAGACCAGCCTGAGCAAGAGCGAGACCCCGTCTCTACTAAAAAATAGAAAGAAATGATCTGGACAACTAAATATATATATATATACATATATATATATGTATATATATAAATTAGCTGGGCATGGTGGCGCATGCCTGTAGTCCCAGCTATTTGGGAGGCTGAGGCAGAAGGATCGCTTGAGCCCAGGAGTATGAGGTTGCTGTGAGCTAGGCTGATGCCATGGCACTCTAGCCCGGGCAACAGAGCAAGACTCTGTCTCAAAAAAAAAAAAAAAAAAAGATCTCCAGTCCTTGATTTTGAAGAATTTTAGCTAATTATGCACACTCTCCCTTTGCAAGCAATAAATAGTCAAACTAAGGGTCTGGGTATTAATTATGTATTTCTGCAGAGGTGGTACATGGTACAATAATGCCCCAAACAATTAACAAATGTGTTGCTCATATACTTATATTAATACACTTTGCAGAAATATCAACAACAAAAGTCATTCTCCCACACACATCCTACCTTTCTTCATGAAGAAGCTACTTAAATATATGATGTAAAAGAAAAAAGCAATTGAAAAGTGATGACAACATGGCTAAGCCAAAGAAGTCTTAAACAAAGAAAAAGAGATTGTTAAAACTACTTAAAATGCAGTAAAATATAAAAACAGCCCTAGGGTGAAGAGGCAATATATCAACATATCAATATCTCAATATATCACCACAGAAACATTCACTTTGGGCTCAGATACTTTTGGACAATTCACTTAGAGCCAGAGATAAAATTTAAAAGTTCATTAAAATACTGCCTACCCAACAAAGAAAGCACAATGTATTAAAATGGATTTGACATCATAAACGCAGATTATGAAAGAAAACAAAGTGCTATAAATTCTGCAAAATCATCACAGAGTTTACCTAAGAATTAGAATTACTCCTTAAACTCCTCCCATCCTGCTAAATGACAGGTGTGTAAAAAGTTGCTCACCTCCTTTGTGGCAGCAAACTTCCTGCATTAGAACTGTTGCTTAGAAAAAGGCTCCTATTTTACAGCCAATTTATAGTTTCAACTAAATTGTTGACGCATTAGCTTTCAGCCGTTGGATTGTTAAGAATTTACCTGGGACTGAGCAGTGTTGGTTTTTGTTGATTTTTTTTTTAATCTACCAAAACCCCAAAGTTTTCTGATGTCAAGGAGAGAACAGTTATTTACAGCCAAGTGTTACTCTTACATATATCATCAGTCTTACTATCCTGCTGTGTAGGATTCTCTAGAAGTTGAAACCGAAATAATAAAGCTTTTCTACAATCTGCTACTGAATAAACAAATGGTGCTAAAATTACAAATACATCCACACAAGGAACAATTAATTTCAGATGAGATATTTGGAGACTTACAAGCAGAAACTCCCACTAGTAGTTCAAGGGTGAAAAACAAATTTCTCCATGGTGGAAGATATGAGGACAGCTGGTCTGCTTTCCATTCCTGTGACAAAGTGATAAGATTCCTAAACTTCGCGAGAAGTTGTGGTGCCCTAGTTAAGAGCGTGGGCACTAAAGCCGCATTGCTGGTTTACATGTGGTTCTAAAGTCAACTAATTGTGACCTGGAGGAGTTACTTAATGTACCTAAGCCCCGCTTCTTTTATCTGTAAAAGGAGGATGATAACAGTACACACTTCATGGGGCTGTTTAA